ATTTTTCTTTCTTTCTCAGTAGAATTTTCAAAATTTTTCTGATATTGACTTTTATTTATCATGAATTACGTACCTGTCCAAGTCAATTTAGCCACATGTCCCTATGATAGATCTCATAGAATTTCCAAAGCTAAAGTTATTTCCCATTTTTAGGGTTCCGTACTCGGTTCGGAACCCTATTAATATCGGTTTTTTTGAAATCGTGTACCCCCCCTTAGCGGCCACACGAATTTATCTAGAGGGCTGAAATTTGGTACACATATGTATTTTCGCGTGTAGATTACAGGAAAAATATAGCAAACCTGATAAGGATTGATTATCATAGCGTTGTCAAGGAAAAACCATGAATTTTTACGAAAAATGTCTAAAAATGACTATGTACCCCCCCTCTAGCAACCACATCTTTTGACATAAAGAGCTCAAATTTGGCACACTTACGTATTTTAACGTGAAAATTACAGGAAAAATATAGCAAACTTGATTCGGATCAATTTACATAGCGTTGTCAAGGAAAAATCAAGAATTTCGAAAAAAACTGATTTTTTCTCCCTAGCGAAAACAATATCCAACCCAGACAGTTCATATTTAGTATACAAATGTATTTTTACGGGAAAAATACAGGGAAAAAAACCGATCACGATTAGAGTTGATGATTAACTTTTATCAAGTTTTTCAAGAAAAAATTACAATTTGAAGGAAAAAAATGTATTTTTCTACCAAAAACGAACAAAATTTTATTTAAAGAAATTTAAATTTATTTATTTTAACTTATTTTTACGTGTAGATAACAAAAAAAATATAGCGAGCATGATTGGAGTTGATTATCATAGCGTTGTCAAGGAAAAACCATGAATTTTTACGAAAAATACCTAAAAATGACTATGTACCCCCCCTCTAGCAGCCACATCTTTTGACATAAAGAACTCAAATTTGGTACACTTAAGTATTTTTACGTGAAAATTACAGGAAAAATATAGCGAACTTGATTCAAATCAATTTACCTAGCGTTGTTTCGAAGAAAATGATTTATTCTCCCTAGCGCACATAATATTCAACCCAAACTGTTCATATTTGCTGTAAAACAGTATTTTTGCGTGAAAAATACAGGGAAAAAATGTAAGCGCAATTGGAGTTGATGATCAATTTTTATCAAATTTTTGAAGAAAAATGATAAATTTAATAAAAAAATGTATTTTTCCGCAAAAAACGAAAACAATCGGACAAGTGCGAGTTACACTCGCACTGAAATCGAGGGTTCCGTACTCGAAGCGAACTTATTTGGTATAAAAATAAATGTTTAAAAAATATGTGTTGTATGTTAAATAAATTATGTGATACAAAAAGGAACAATTTTTTAAAAAAATTTAAGAAATTTGTTCCTCCTTTGGTATAAAAACAAAAAAAAAATTTAAATATGTGTTGTATTTCAAATAATATAGATACAAAAAGAAACAATTTTGTAAAATTTAAGAAAATTGTTCCTCTTCGTATCACTTATATTATTTGAAATACAACACATATTTAAATTTTTTTTTGTTTTTATACCAAAGGAGGAAAAATTTTCTTAAATTTTTTTATAAAATTGTTCCTTTTTGTATCACATAATTTATTTAACATACAACACATATTTTTTAAACATTTATTTTTATACCAAATAAGTTCGCTTCGAGTACGGAACCCTCGATTTCAGTGCGAGTGTAATTCGCATTTGTCCGATTTTTTAAAGTGTCGTAAAAATTGTAAAGAGGCAAACGAATTAGTCAAATGTCCTTATAATAAAATTCATTCTGTTTATAAATTGGAATTAAATTATTATATGGAATATTGTGGTAAAAATTATTTACATTGATTTGCATATACATTTTCCGCCATTTTTATTCATTTTCTAGTAAAAAAATACTATTTTCTACCTGAAAATTTCCGTGCGGTATCTCCTAAACGCGAAGCCCCTCGCGATTTTCAATATCATGTTTGAACTCTCCAAAACCCTTTTAGGAAAACCCATTTAATCTCCCCTTTTCAAAACTTGAATGGAAGTCGTACGATCAAAATTAAAATAATTCGCGCTCGCATATATTTTAATAGATCGTACGCTAGTGTGACGTCACTGGCTCTCGCTGAACGCGTTGAGCGTTGTAGGAAAGTGGCTCTACAGTACGGAAGCTTCTATGCGCCACCATGCCGTCTCACTCGTGTTGTGAGGCACCCTAAGAGGAACAGGCCTGTTCGTGTGTTCCTCGGTGCGTTCCTCGGTACGTTCCTCGCAGTGTTCCTGATTGCATTGAACTTTATTGTAGAATCAGAATGAAGACTTTGATTTATTTATTATTTTAATCATGAAAATTTGAATAAACGTAAGTAAAATTGATATTAATAATTAATTACTTATTAATTAGATAATTAGGATATATAATTTCAATTCAATTTCAATATCAACTTGTGAAAAGTCAAAATTTTTATTATTTACAATCATCATGAAATTTAAATTATTTAAATTTTTATTAATCTAATTAAGTATAAAAATTATATTGTTTCATTTGTATTGTTTTAAGTCTTTTGTTATTGGATCATATTATTATATAGAGCGCTGGAAAAATTCATAAAATTTATAGTTCAATACATTGACATAACCTCAAACTAAATTATTTTTATTTACAATTATTTTTGACAAATAATAATTATTTTATGATTATACTCTAGATAATTTATTATTCAAATTTATTTAAAAAATTTTTTATTATAATTGTTAAAATTTTTATACAATTTATTATCCTTATACTGTTATTGTTAATTTTAAATGGGACATATATTAGCCTGAATCTAAAAGTCATTATGTTTTATAAATAATTCATTACAATTTTTTCTATATTTATCTAAATTAACTTTAGTATGTGTCACTTAACAAAATCAAACAAAAAGAATAATAAAAAATATTTTAAAGCAATTTAAATTTATCATTCTTTTTAATTAAGAGAAAGGTAATAGTATTAAATAATCGTTAATTTACTAAAAGTAATCTCTCTTGTCTTTTATTAATACAATTTACATATTTATGTCAAATGGACATTCAAGAAAATGACTTAAAATATTTAAATCGTTTTATTTATAAATAATAATTTTCAGATGAATTCTGCGGATGTTGCCATTATAAACTCATAATTATGAGTCGAACGATAAAATTACAATTCAACAATGAAGAACAAAATGTTGTTATTAAAAATAACAAAATTCAAAAATCTTTATTGGAAGATTACTTCCCAAAGGGAAGTAATTTAAAATATTCATTACATGGAATATCATACCTTTTGCAAAGGGAGGGTGATGATATTTTATTACCATCAAATGTTGACACTTTTATCATCGTTGCACCAGGAGGTTCGTTATGCTTTTAATTAGATTAAAAATATATTTAAATGTATTTAAACAAAATCAGTATGAAAAAAATATAATTTTTCCTTGTTTATTATAAATCATTGGTTATAATATAGTGTAAATTGTATTTCGTTTAAAATTATTATAAATTAAAAGTAGAAGGTAAACGACATGTTTTTGTAAACTTAAATGACGCACTTCTTTTTGGAAATGTTATTATTCATAACTGTCAAATATTACATAGGTGATTGTATCACTTTTGATTTTGACAGATGAATAGTATCTAAAAAACATTTTTAGAATTATCCCGAAGTGAATGCATTGGATTTTGCGATTTATATTGTCTCAAATATAAAGCAACTATAAAAAATGTTATCAAAAGTTTTATAGTCAACTTTATACCAAGTCTTGAAAAAATATTTAATGTTTACTTTTTCAATTCCAGTTTTTTTAAAAATGTATACATTAACAATCATCATAGAAAAAGAATTTGCAAATATTCTAATGTTGAGAAAATTTTTAATGTGATATTTAAAATAGCCTGTATTTCCATGAATAGACCACCTACTTTATTTTGTTTAATACAGTACATTTCACAATTCTGTGTAATCAAATCGCACTACTAAAGTTAATGAAAAGTACTTTTTTTGATTTTGAGTTATTTTTATAGATTTTAAGCTAATGGTCCACTCATGGATAAAAATTTTTTCTAGGAAAAAAAATTCTTTCTAAAAAACGCCCCTAACATTTTGAATGATACTGAAATATACTTTGTAGCTAAAGAAATTAACTATCCATCGGTGCGGTGTGTAAAAGTTTTAAAAATTCCTTTCTCAAAAAAATTTAATAAAGAAAATGATTATATTGTCCACTCATGGATAAATTCCTCTATTATTATTTAACGGAAACATAAATCAATTTAGTCTACATTGAAAAATTGTATAATTATCATTTAATTATTTTATTTTAGATTTGTAACTTTTTTTGAAGTTTAAAAAAATTTGGGGTTTTGCACATATTTTAATATTGATACATAATTTATCTGATATGTAAATTTGGTTAGGGTATTTTGCTTTGTTTCAAAATTAATAAATTCGAAAATTTTTCAATTAAAAGTGTTAATTTTAGGACTTGAAATTAACAAAACATATGAATGGTGAATTTCGAAAAGGGCTCAACTCGAAAAAGCGTAAGTGCCATTTTCGCATAACAATCGATAGTGAAAATTACTCTTAGCCTTTTTAGAGTTGAGCCCTTTTCGAAATTCACCATTCATATGAAATCTCTTTTTTTATGAAAATAGAAGGATATGTAAAGCTGTAAAATGCCAGAAATACATAACCTTTTTAATTAAAAATTTTTCAATATTCTTATTTTTTTAACCGACCAAAATACACCCTCTTCAAATTTTCATAGTAGGTAATTATATCAATATTAAATTATGTGCGAAACTAATTTCTTTTAGCTTCCAGAAAAAAGTTACAAGCTTCAAAAAATTATAAAATTTAAAGAAAGAAATTGTTTCAAATTCTAACTAATAATTTAAAATAAAATAATATAAGAAGATAATAGAATTGTAAATAGTAGTAATCTAATTGAAATAATTGAACAATTATTACAGATGACTTTGCTGCCGATTATGAGGGAGACGAAAGAAATCAAAATGTAAACTATTTTTTAATAATTTTATATGGACCGAATTCATTTCATTAACATGCTCATTTGTATCAAAAAGTACTCTTACTATTATTTAAAAAGCAATAGAAGTAATCAATTAATTCTTTTTTTTTAAATTTTATCGAAAAAAGCAAGATAGAGAAAAATGACAACAGAGTTTTTTTTTATATCTTTTGAAGAGGGACAACTTTTATTTGAGACATTTTTTTATATCTAATTTATTTGTTGAGAAAAATTATGTTTTTCCTTTTAAAACTAAAAAAAGAATTTTCTCTTATACCAGAATAGGGCAGAAGTTAAATTCTTGTCAAAAAGATTCCTCCATATGAACGTAATTGCCAAACAAATTTTTAGCAAAAAAAGTGGTGGGGTTTTTGAATAAACTCAATTAAAATTTTCTTAATAAAATAGCCGCCATTGTGTTATTTTTTAAAATTATTTAAATTTTCCAATGCATTTCGAAAGAAGAATAAAAGCCCTTTTTGATGCAAAAAGGAAAAATAAATTATCTTAATTACTTAAAAAATTACAGCATTTTAAAGATTTTTTCTCCTAAATTTTGAATAAACAAAATTTTCGAGTGTCAATCTTTAAATCTTTATAACTTAAAAAAAAAATTTTTTTGGCAATATAAAAAATACGTGTCGTCTAAAATTCTTTCTAAAACACATTATAAATGCGAAAATGATTTTCAATTCAGACCATGACCTGCATGATTTGAAATGAATTCGGGCTATGAAATATTTTTAATTTATATGTTTTTATGCACATTAAATATTATTGTTATTTTTTATTTTAGGTTAAGAGAAGAAATGCATTTATTTTTATGAAAATAGAAAAATACTTCGCTAAAGGATACAGCTTACAAATGATCCTACATCTGCTGCGAACCAATTGGAATATAAATATCTCTCGGCGAACTTTTTCTAGAATTTTAAACATGTTAAACTTAAAGAGAAAAAACATTAATGAAAGTCCGTATGCGGAATTGGTGACTGCTATTCTTTTGGAACTCGAAGGAAGTGGTTTTAATCTTGGATACAGAGCAATGTGGAAACGATTAAAAAAAGTTTATAATTTAACTGCAAAACAGGAAACAATAAGGATATTACTCGGTGGAATCGATCCGGATGGAGTTGAAGGTCGACGTAGATATCGTTTAAAGAGGAGAGTATACAGTGCTCCTGGTCCCAATCACATTTGGCATGCCGACAACCACGATAAATTAAAAAGATTCGGGTTTCCAATATACGGTTGCATAGACGGTTTTTCTAAAAAAGTTATTTGGTTGCGTGTATCAAGGACAAATAATAATCCTAATGTAATTGGTAGCTATTATTTAACAGCTATTGAAAAACATGGATTTCTTCCTACATTAGTAAGGGCGGATAATGGCACGGAAGCGACACTCATGGAAGACATGCATATGGCTCTGCGATATCACCATGACGATGAATGTGCTGGGATTAAAAGCTTTATACGCGGAAAAAGTACAAGGAATCAACGAATCGAATCGTATTGGCGTCAATTTCGACAGCACATGGGGGAGTTTTACATGCAACTTTTTAAAACAATGGAAGAGGAAAATTTATTTAGAGCCGACTCTCCACTGCATATCGAGTGTTTGCGTTATTGTTTTGGTAAACTAATACAAGATGACATGGAGTTGACCAGAAAGGAATGGAATGAACACCGAATCCGTAAGCAAAATAATCGTGATGTTGCTGGTGGAATACCGGATGAGATGTTCAAGTGGCCAGAGAATTATGGCGCAGTTCGATGCGAAAAGCAACTAGATTTGGAAAGTCTGCAGTGTCTAAAAGAGTATGTGGAAGAGCCCATTTTAATTTCACCTGTTTTCAATGAATTAGTGAAACTTCTCGACATTCGAATTAGTGAAGTGGTAACAGCTGAAGATGCTTTTAATTTATATTTAACAATATTAAGGGCTATTAGTAGTGAATTGGGAGAGGTAGATGTATTATTATTGTAAAAAGTATCTTTAGGAAGAAGATAGTGTAAACTGATGTATGATATAACAAAACATGAAAAAATTTTACTCTTACAAGAATTTATATTCTAAAAATCAATAATTGACTTTATCTGTAAATAAATTGTAAATATAATCAATAAATTTATTACAATATTTATATTATTAAAAAAAACTTTGTATTTTTATTAAAGAATTTCTTCATTGCTTATAGTTATTCCTTTTCGTATTAAACAATGGTAGCAAAAATATTAAAAGATTTTAAATCACCTTGAATTCTAAGGTAGATTCTAGAATTACCACGGACATTACAGATTATCAATTATTCACCTTAGCACGCTTATATTTCTCTTATATTTTCTCGTACATTTTAGGAAAAATATAGCGAATACGATTGGAGTTGATCTTCATAAAGTTTTGGGCGAAAAACTCGAAATTTTTGACAATTTCGTCAAAAACACGTGTACCCTCCCCCCTGGCGCTCACAATTCTTGATCTAGAGAGCTCAAAATTTACATATTGATTTGTTTTTATCTGTAGATTGCAGGAAAATTAAAGCGAAACTGGTTGGAATTGATCTTCATAGCGTTTTTTTTCGAAAAACTCGAAGTTTCTATGAATTCTCGAAAATATATGCACCCCTGCTAGCGCTCACAATTTTTGGCCCAGAAGGGCCAAAAATCAAGAAGACTGTATTTGTGTATACTTATGTATTTTTACGTGTAGATTACAGAAAAAATGTAACCGACATGATTAAATTGGATCTTTATATAGCGTTTTTTGGGAAACACTCAAATTTTTTGACAATTTCGTCAAAAACTCAAAATTCTTGATCTGCAGAGCTGAAAATTTGCGTACGTGTGTATTTTTAGTGTAGATGACAGGAAAAAAGTAGAAAAAAAAATTTTTTTATAGTAGAAAGAAATGATTATAATTTATCTTCATATCGGGTTTTGTAAAAAACGCGAATTAAGAAATAAAACCAAATAAGGTCATTACAAATATGGAACCCTCGGCTTCAGTGCGAGTCCATCTCGCACTTGTCCGGTTTTTTTTCTAATTAAATATTTAATGTTATTAAAATTATATGAATCTAATAAAAATTTAAAAATAGAATTTATAAAACTATTTGACTTATATTTTTAATTAATGAAAGTTTACATTTATAAAAAAATGTATATTAACTTTAAAAACGATTGACTTAATTAGAAATCAAAACAAAAAAAACACCTTTTTTAAACAAAAAGTTGTATATGTAATTTTAAACTCAAATTCAATCCTCTGCGTACTCATTAAATTTTAAATGGTTCTCAGTCGTACTATGATTATAATTATAAAATAGTGAATGGAAATTAAATTAAGGCCACACAAATTTTCAAATTTATTGTGTAATTATTATTAAAAATATTAAATGGAATTTATAAAACAAATGACACACTTTAATTGTCAAACGTATTTTTGAATTTAAGAAAATGTTTTTTGCTTACAAGTAGTAACAGAAAAGTATTGGTACATGTGCATATCACAAGGTAAATATTTAAAACGTATCCGAGACTTTGATGATTGTGAAAAGCAGTTTATATTCTAAAATATTCAGAGTATGTAGTTACTATTATTCTTAAACGTAACGCATGGAACTTTAAAAGACACATGACATATAGTAGATTTATGGCATAAGTTAACTCTAACATGAAGTAAAATCTAATTTGATATCATTTATAAATAATTGAAATATATTCCACAAAATATACTTCAAAAAAGTCTTTTGTACTCTTTTGTACTACTGAAAATCACAAGTTAAATACAAAACATAGTTAGTCGGAACAATTATGAAATCATTTCATATTCCCGAATTCATAATAATTTTTGTTTTTAAAACAAGTATTCGAAAACTTAATAGGAACATATGACTTAGTAATATTGCCATATACGTACTTTATCTCTAAGATAAATTTTTTACTTTATTACATCATTACCACAAAATTAAACTTTCCTTTTAAGCCGTTATTTAAAAATAATCATGATTTATACCGCAATATGTACTTCGTAATACTGTTTTGTACTGAATTAAATATGAAGTAACAAAATGTAACAATATTCTCAAACAAATACTTAATTAGTATTCTGCTAAACAAGATACAGAAATAATAGAAAACAATTTTGTTTAATCAAACAATCTTATATGAAAATGACCTTTGGTTTATGCAATACAACAATAAGTAAGCTAGAATACTGTTTTTTCTAAGAATAATAAATTTTATAAACATTTAATAAATGAGACATTCTAATGCAACGTTAGTTGCTTTTCTTAGTAATAGGTTAATTTTACTTTGATAAGGAATAAGTTTTGAAAGACCTATGTTAATTTAGTCTTCAACTAGTACACGGTTAATTTAGAAACAAATCTTGCAGAACAGTAATGCTTGGTCTCTTTTCCTGACTGTAACTGAAACAGTGAAGCAAAGTTTTCTGCATGAATGTTGGAGCATTTCTTATATTAGGCACTTTGTAGTTGGAAAATTTTTCCGTCAGAAAAACTACAACACTTCTATTCGATCTGCTCAACTGCCAAACCGCATTTCCACTAAACAGCTCAACGAGAGTACATGCTACAGCCCAAACATCTGTAGTTGTATTCGCTACCCCTCTGCCCAGAACAATTTCTGGCGCTATATAGAAGTAAGTGCCTTTCATCGATATTTCCATTGATGATTGCAAGCTTTTTTCCAATGAGGAACACTTTCCTAACCCCAAATCGCATAGTTTTAAGAAACCAATTTCATTAATCAAGAGATTTGCAGGTTTTATGTCCCTATGAACTATTGGAGGAGTTTGCAAATGCAAATAAGAAACAGCAGTACAAAGCTGCAGAGCTATGTTATTTTTCGAAGACATGTATTTTGCAGCAGATGTTTTTTTACTTTCATCGAAAAGCAGAGAGTACAAGGAAATGGAATCAAAAAACTCCATGACAATATGAAATTGCGTTGGAGTCGAGGATACTGCCATAATCGATATTATGTTCTGATGCCTAATTTTATCCAAGAGTGATATTTCTTTTAAAATTTGTCTATCAGAGAAGCTTTTCGTTATGGACTTTATAGCAACTTCAGTTTTCAGATAGAATCCTTTTATAACAATCCCTTGTCCTCCTCTTCCTAAAGTTACATTTGTGAATTGTAAATCGGAATATTCAACTTTCTTAATCGATAAATTTAATTTATCCAAGCCGGTTTTTGCTTCTGGTATTTTAAATTCAAATTTGTCACGAAATTCACCGAATTCACCACTTAACTGTGATGTGGATGTGTCAAGATCCTTTGGAAAATCTTTTTTTTTTTGAAGAATTTTCTCAATGTTTTCTTTATTTTTTACGGATGTGAACGAGGGAGACAAAATTTGTGACAATTTTAAAGCACTTGGCGGAGAAGAAGATGTGTTGGTAGTAGGTTGCAAAATTTTTTTTTCGTCGATTTTTCGTGAATTGATTTCAGATGTTAATTGTGTCTGCAACATTTCAGACATTTTTGAACTGTTTGTCGAATGATGTGCTTCTGGTACTCGGGTCAAAGAATTAGTGTTCGAAGAATTTAAAGTGAAATCGTTGGATCCTACCTTAACTGACAATATAAATAATCTTAATGCGTGATTCGAGTTTCTCAGTTTGTCGCTGCAAAATTTCCAAAAGTCACACTCATCTCCGTCATTATCAATGTAAGTCGTGATAGGCTGATTATCATTGGTTCCTATGGCAATGTCACAATCTTGAAAATACGGTCTATTGATATCATTAATATATTGGTCCAAAATCGTGTCCTTCAATGTTGAAAGAGGATAATCTTGATTCGCATTTAAGGTAATTTTCTTTAAACCTCCTATTGCACTACTTTTTAACTGGAATAAAGCATTATGACTCTTCTTGTGCTTCCAATTAACATAGACTACCCTCTTCAGGAAAGGTTTTTTTTGTCAACCGTTTGCTTCTTGGCAAAGCCAATTGGTTGATGGTCCAACTGAAAAAAATAACTCTTTGAAAAAAGAAGAATTTGAACAATATGAATTTGGATTAATTAATTAATTAATTCTACTAATCGAATAATGAAATTTAATAAAAATTTAATTTCACATTAAACCTGGCATACATTTTTTAAATGAAATGCAAGAATGACACTATGTTGCACATCCTTTTATATAATAAAGATGAAGAGCGACCGACTGACCGGCTCACACCAGCCGTTAAATTTCAACAATTTCACGTCTTTCTCTACTATTTAATGTCTCTGTGGCACATTTTTTATTAGTTTCACTTTTTTACAATTAATTTTACTCAAAAAATATATTATTTAATTTTTTTCGAAGCTTTTTTTAAATTTTGCATGTTACATTTCATATAATGAGATTTTATGTTTTATATGTTTTTGTGTGTAAATTACATTTTCCATATGATGTTTCTTTTTTTTGGTTTAAATTTTCTCATTACAAGATGTCAGTAAGTTCATGAAAGGCAAAATATTATAATAATATTTTATATTAATAATAATAATACTATTATTAATATTAAAAGTTAATACTTATTATTGTATTAATATTATTAAATATCTATAGTAATTAAAATTGATTTAAACTTTAAGTCAATGACTACAAGTCACAATTGACCCGAGCGAGCGTTAGTGAGGGAAGAATATATCGCTATTATATATATGGGACGTTTCACGTCAACCGGCCCAAAGCTATGTCCAAAATTCTATGCAATAAAAATAAACATGTAATAGATGAAAATACTCGTAAAGTCATCCCCTTTCAATTGCAAAGTGGCAGAATTAAAAATTCAAAATGGCGTCCTTACTATGTCAAGTGGAAGCGGCTAACTTCAGAAATAAGTAATTATGTTTATTAATTTCTTTTAAAAAATTATGCAAAAATTTTAGGTCACCACATATTTTAATGTTTTTGGGGTCGCTGATTACGAATCTGAAGTCAGTTTTTCAAAATTCAAAATGGCGGATCCAATATGGCGGATTATTTTTTAAAAATTAATTGAATTTGCTTGAAACTTGCTACTCGGGGATTTTCGAGGTCGCTCATTACAAATCTGAAGTCAGTTTTTCAAATTTAAAAATGGCGGATCCAATATGGCGGACGAATTTTTTAAAAAATCATTGAATTTGCTTGAAACTTGTTACTTGGGGGTTTTCGAGGTCGCTGATTACGAATCTGAAGTCAGTTTTTCAAAATTCAGAATGGCGGATTTAATATGTCGGACGAATTTTTAAAAATTGATTGAATTTGCTTGAAACTTTTTACTTGGGAGTTTTGGAGGTCGCTGATTACGAATCTGAAGTCAGTTTTTCAAAATTCAGAATGGCGGATTTAATATGTCGGACGAATTTTTAAAAATTGATTGAATTTGCTTGAAACTTTTTACTTGGGAGTTTTGGAGGTCGCTGATTATGAATCTGAAGTCCTAGCGTTCTGAGATGCCTGAGGTCTTCCTCAAACACAACTTTTCCTTAATTTTTCTTTACTCCCTGCTATGAATTAGAAGGATATTAGGTACAATATTTGTAGATAAAATTATTCACCTTGTTGCGAGTCAAAGAAACTGTATAAATCGAAAGGAAGAAAACGAATATTCAAATAATGTGGCTGATTCAGTACATTTCATTATTAACTGATTAACTGAGTTTTAGTAACTTTTTAAATGCTGCTGTAATAATAATTTATTTTCATGAATGTTCATGTAAGTAGTAACAACATTTGAGCATCGTAAAAACATGGACGATATCTAAATTATAAAAGAGCTTATTCAGACTTCGTAAGATATGTTTTAGCGATTGTCATTTTTTTCACGATGTTCAAATGTTTTTATTAAACCCTCAGTGTGTCAACTGTAAAGGATCATGTGATGGCATAGGAGCTATTTTAAAGAGAGAATCCACTCGTGCTAGCTTGCAATCCTCACCAGACAAAGCCATTTTAAATGCAGAGACTCTTTATCAATAGGCTAAGCAAAATATCAAGACTTCGCAGATTTTCTTTTACAACTGACATCAGATTCGTAATCAGTGACCTCGAAAATCCCCGAGTAACAAGTTTCAAACAAATTCAATAAATTTTTAAAAAATAATCCGCCATATTGGATCCGCCATTTTGAATTTTGAAAAACTGACTTCAGATTCGTAATCAGCGACCTCGAAAACCCCCGAGTAACAAGTTTCAAGCAAATTCAATTATTTTAAAAAAATAAGCCGCCATATTGGATCCGCCATTTTGAATTTTGAAAAACTGACTTCAGATTCGTAATCAGCGACCTCGAAAACATTAAAATATGTGGTGACCTAAAATTTTTGCATAATTTTCTAAAAGAAATTAATAAATATATTTACTTATTTCTGAAGTTAGCCGCTTCCACTTGACATAGTAAGGACGCCATTTTGAATTTTCAATTCTGCCACTTTGCAATTGAAAGGGGATGAGTTTACGAGTATTTTCATGTATTACATGTTTATTTTTATTGCATAGAATTTTGGACATAACTTTGGGCCGGTTGACGTGAAACGTCCCATATATATATATATATATATATATATATAAAATAAAATAAAAAATAGTTATTGTATTATATGAAAACATATATGAAATACCTTCTTTTTCTTTAAACTTTTGGAATCGGGATCCTTCAGACGATTGATTTTCTCCAGCATGTTGGCGAATCTTTCACTCCTGATGGGATTTGATTTTTCATTATCAGAGTTTTGAACAGCTAAAATTATTAATTACTTATAAAACAACTTTATTGAAATACATTAAATAGGAATTATTTCATTAATTTCTTAACGCATAAACAAATTTATAAATAAATTTATAATAACACAACAATAAATTAATTTTGATTTATAATTGTTTACTATAGACAATGCAGATTTAAAACATTTTAATTATGTAACAATAAACGGCAGCAAATATTTTAGCAAAGAAGAAAATGTACACATGACAGGGATCGAATGAATATTTTGTCTTTAAATAAATGTGAAATATTATTTTTTACAAGTAATTGCCAATAGAAACTTCAGAACGTCACTTCATATAAATTAACATGCTATATAGTTATATTAAGATTCATTAAAATTTTTATAAAATTACGCGTTTCAAACGTTTGGATGCAAGGTTTAGTGTAAATAAAAAGGAAATATACTTTCAAATTTAAATGAATTCAATTTAGAATCATTATTAGATTTTAATTAATTTACAGTTAATAATAAATAAATTTTTTTTAAATAATTAAATTAAAAATTTGAATAATGAAAAATAATATTGAATAAAAATTGAGATTGTTTAAAATTGAAATAATTTAAACTTTGGATTAGATTTAAATTTTGATAATAATTTACACATTATTATATAATGAAATTTTCACAAATTTGAAATCGAATATTTATTTAAATTTTAAGCCATTAAAATGTCAAAATTGTGATAAAATATTTTCAAAATTTTTTATTTCAAATATTTTCATCGAAAAAAATACGAAATTATAAACTCTTCGGCTACATTAATTGATGATTAATTAAAACTTGATATGGTATATATGGAAAATTCTCTGGAACATTTAATATTCAGGTAACTTATGTTTATCCATTAATTATACAATATGCATAAAATTTTTTTTAAATGTTACTATTGGTCCTTGAAAAGCATGTTTTAAGCTATTGAAATATGTTAGTTTAAAAAATTAACTTTTGTATTGTAATTTAATTTCTTTCTTAAACGTTGAAAAGTAAGCAAATCACGGGAGTCTTTTTGGGCATTTTTTGAAACATAAACTAATTTTACAAGTTGGCACATCATAGTAAAATCAAATAACAAATATATAAGTAAAAATGGACATCTAAGGATTATTTTAATAGTAATTCGAAAAGAGTACGTTTCCCGAAAGCAAAAATATATAATTTTGAAAATTGTCTCTCAGTTTTGAGTCCGGACTGTAAATGCATTTTACTTCTAAATAGTTCGTATCGACAATAAGTAGAATGAAAGCTTAAAACTTTTTTAAACTGTGGCTAGTTACTAAATTTTTGTGTGCAATAACTTATATTGAAACTAGTATTTAAAAATACTGTTTTTCAGTTCGAAAGGAAACACGGTTTTAAGGACAATAAATGACTCAGCACAACTAAACTATAAGCTTTAAAAAATGATCAAACTTGTACGCACATTAGCGCAATTATTTAATTTACCCGTATGCAAAAGCAGACCTTAAAATTTTTAATAATTATCTCGCTACAAGAATTTTAAAGAATAAAAGTTTCAGAGAATTTCCCATTTAGAAAATAAAAGAAATTGATAAATTAAATATTGGATGAATTAAAAAATGTAAAAAAATTTTTTAATTTCACATATACATTCAAACCATTATAACTTACAATTGTATCATAATCTGTACGTCTATCAAGTCCTACCATTTTAAATCATACAATATAGTTTTAAAAAAATAATTAAATAGTAAACCAAGATTTTTATTTAAATTTAATAAACAAGGAAAAATTATATTTTTTTCATACTGATTTTGTTCAAATACATTTAAATATATTTTTAATCTAATTAAAAGCATAACGAACCTCCTGGTGCAACGATGATAAAAGTATCAACATTTGATGGTAATAAAATATCATCACCCTCCCTTTGCAAAAGGTATGATATTCCATGTAATAAATATTTTAAATTACTTCCCTTTGGGAAGTAATCTTCCAATAAAGATTTTTGAATTTTGTTATTTTTAATAACAACATTTTGTTCTTCATTGTTGAATTGTAATTTTATCGTTCGACTCATAATGGCAACATCCGCAGAATTCATCTGAAAATTATTATTTATAAATAAAACGATTTAAATATTTTAAGTCATTTTCTTGAATGTCCATTTGACATAAATATGTAAATTGTATTAATAAAAGACAAGAGAGATTACTTTTAGTAAATTAACGATTATTTAATACTATTACCTTTCTCTTAATTAAAAAGAATGATAAATTTAAATTGCTTTAAAATATTTTTTAATATTCTTTTTGTTTGATTTTGTTAAGTGACACATACTAAAGTTAATTTAGATAAATATAGAAAAAATTGTAATGAATTATTTATAAAACATAATGACTTTTAGATTCAGGCTAATATATGTCCAATTTCTATTTCTAAAAGATATTATTATTCAAATTTTTATTATATTGAAGCGAAATTTTTATTCTTATTAAGAATTTTTCATTTTCTTTTCTCAACAAGGATTCTTTTATAAGCGAAATTTATATTCCCAGAGAGTATTTTAGAATGTTTCATTGAATCAATGGTATACAAAATTTTTTTTTAAGATGAAGAATAATATTTTTGTTACTAGTTTATCAATTTAAATGACAATTTAAATGACATACAAACTGTTTCTCCTTTTTCTAATGTAGTCACAATCCTTAAAAAAGAAAAAATAACCTTTAAAAAAATAGGGTTTTTCATTTCCTTTTCCCAAATTAATTCTCAAATCAAATCAAAATAAACAGGAGAAGAGGAATTTATTTATGGTTTATTATTCTTTTCTTATTTTTCTTGTTTTATTAAGAGAAAATTTATTAATTTTTTTTTATTATTTTACATAATTTTCGTAAAATTTGAATTTCCCAATGTCTAAAATTCCTTCCCATAAAACTTCCTCAAATCGTAGGAAAAGAGGAAATAGGAAATTCACAATAATTTCTAGTAGTTCTATTCTTTATAATAATTTAGTAAAGAAACAAGTCAAAAGTGTACCAGTAGCGGTAGTAAAACCTATTATTAGACAAACCACAGTAGAGCAGACAAATCTACAAATAGTTAATACAATAAATTTAACCGTAGAAAAAGTAAATGTATTACCTCCTGCAGTAGACAATTTTAGCAGAAATTTAAACATTGAATTAATAGAAATTAATTAATTTTAATTTTGCTTTTTTTAAATTTTTTTTAATGTCCGGATATTCGACTATACCTCGAAATTTTTCACGTAAACAGAGGAAAAGCTTCAATAAAAAATTAAGGGAACAAAAAGCCCTTAATGGTGAAAAATGGCTTTCTTTAGAGGAATTGCGGGATTTGACGAGGGACCTTAAAGAAAAAGCAGCCCTGGAAGCAGAAAAATTGAAAAATATCGAAAAATTAAAAAAGAGTAATGATGATAAAGTAATTGATAGTAGTGTTTATAAAAGCCTAAGTTTAGACACTAAAATTGCTATTATTCGTAAAAATTTGTGTAAACATATGTTAGTGCCACCCTGTTGAAAATTCCGACCTCGTTTACGACGTCGTATTCTAAGTAGTTTGTGACGTAGTAAACGACGTAGAAAACGACATAGTAAACGACGTCGTAAATGAAAGCGGAATTTGGGATAGTAAATGACGTCGTTTACTACGTCGTTTACGATGTCGTTTACTACGTCGTTTACGATGTCGTTTACTACGTCGTTTACGATGTCGTTTACGATGTTGCAAAAATTATTTTAATATTATTTATTTAGTAATTTAGTAAGTCCAATATCCAATATTAAAAATTTGAATAATAATTTAAAAAATCAATAATTTAAAAAAAATTTATTTTTATTATTTTTTAATAGTTATTATTATTATTATTTTATTTTTAATATTTAAATTAAAATAAAAAAATGGTCATCAAAATATTAGTGAAACCATTTCTTCCAAAAAAGAATTTGTCTCAAATCCAATAAATAGGTAGGAGAGACATCGGGCAGAAAAAAATTTCGACAAGAAAAAAATTTTCGATCACTGCTTATATACTAATCTAATGGCACCTCAACTGCGAGAAACAGTTATGATGTTCGCCCTCCCTGTGGCGTTGAGCGAACTTAAGTCCAGAGCTGCGCCATCATCGCAGCGCGGAAACATTTGAAAAATTTGATTTTATTAGATATTTTATTTTATTTTAAATATGACAAATAATTAACTTAATAAATAACTAATGTCATGAATAATTATTAATAACATAATGTCATACTTAATAATTCGTTAATTAATTATTTTTAACGAAAATTTGACAAAAAAAAAAATTGTTGGCCAAAAAAAATATTACCATTAAAAAATAATTTTTTTGTTAAATTTTTGTAGTAAAAAAAATTTTTTCAAGACAATTATTTGTGACCTAAAAAAATATCACGATGAGAATATAATTAACAAAAAAAATTACTCGTAGCACAGAAAAAATTTCACCATGAGAAAATAATTTTTTTAAAATTTTATTTGTAAAAAATTTATTGGTAGCTCAAAAAAAATATCACGATGAGAAAATAATTTTTTGTCAAATTTTCTCTGTAAATAAATTAATTAACTAAATAACGTACCGTAAAACAGGGTTATTTCGCTCATTGCGGGTAAATTCGCTCACCCACTTTTATGCTTTATTTCAGCATTAAAATAAAGTTTAATACCTTTATTACCAGGTTAAAATGTTAAATTTGTTAATAGAAATACTAAATTTTAGTTTAAATCAAATTTAAAGCAAAAAAATGGGTGAGCGACTTTACCCGCATTGAGCGAAATAACCCTGTTTTACGGTAATTATTAGTTACTTCATTTTTTTACTACGAAAATGTAACAAAAAAATATTTGTAGCACAAAAATAATATTTAGATGAGAAATTTAATCAGTTTTAAATTTTCTCTGTAAAAAAATCT